TGGCCACTCATGATACCTGGTACTATGCCGAACATTTTCCAGTAAGTTTTATCGGGTTAACTCACAAGCTGATCTGGTCAATTTTCGGGGGCGGGCTATAAGTGGGTGTCTGGCAGGTACACCCCACCATTAAAAATGTCTTGCAGTGGCCATTTCTGATACCTGGTACTATGCCGAACATTTTCCAGTAGTTTTATCGGGTTAACTCACAAGCTGATCTAGGTCAATTTTTTGGGCGGGGTATTTGGGGGTGTCTGGCAGGTACACTCCACCATTAAAAATGTCTGGCGGTGACCATTCCTGATACCTGGTACTATGCCCAACATTTTCCAGTAGGTTTCATCGGGCTGATCTAGCTTAATTTTGGGGTACCGGTTTTTTGCTTCTGGCACCCACCCCCCACCATTGGAAATGTCTGGAAAGGTTTCATTGGGTTAATTCACAAGTTGACCTAGCTCAATTTTTGGGGCCCTTTTTATGCCCCTCCTGACCACACCCACCACAATGGGACCGGCAGATGCCCATTCTCCTACATAGACAGGCACATAGAACATTACTATATACACACAAATTGGTTAACTTTCCAGCTATGCTGACACCCCTGGGCTCCTGGTCTCTATGCATATGTCATATGCAATGAAAAAAGTGTAAATCAAATAGGAGTAAGGCCATATGAAAGAGCACAGATACTATTGATAATTTAAGATTTATAATAATTTTGGATTATCGTGTAAAAATGTACAATCTCCTCTGGTTGTTTAAGGTTTAAGTGTCCTACGAACATATGCAAACTAAACTGGTGTAGTTGCTTTGATATACCTTTGGGACACAATTAGTATTGCTGTATAGGTACTGCGCACACAATAATTGAAAATTTTACATCACGTTTTTTTTAATGATTAAATAATTTTAGCATTTGTGCTACCGTCTTTAACATTTTCAAAACGAAATAAAACGAATAAATAAACACATTGTAGCCGAAATGAATATAATATACTTATCCTGATATTTATTTTAGGCTTATGTATTAAATAATGCACAACATCAGTAGTTTTTACCTTCTTGTAGTTGCAATTTCCTTATTCCCAATGAATCGAATTCCATGGAGTGACGTTTCACCAGTGAGCTTGCTGAAATCACATGAACTCGCCTCCTTAGCCATTTCACACCGTGCTTTTGAAATGCTTGTGACAAGTTCTGTGTCTCCTCAAGAATACACGCCTACGAGATATGTTTACTTTTTAAAAAGATGGCAATGAATCCGCAATTACTCAATCAGAACGTATATTGACAGTGTTAAATTAGCCATGACGAAATACTAAATATACAATACACATCCACGCATGCTTAATTTATTTAGTACCTTCAATAAATTCTCGTAATACATTCTCATTAGATTTGGTAAAATAATATTTGCATATTGGTTTTCTATACATTATTTCCAGCAACTCAGATATTGGCATTATCGATTGACATTCGTTATGAACTAGATGCAACAATCACTGACATTATCAGGCCTAAATTTTATTTACTTTTTATTTTTTATTTTTTATTTACTATTTATTTATTTCAAAAAAATAATCCAACAACAATCAATTGCCAATAACAGGGTGTCAACATATTTTTTTTACACGTATAAATATA